AGTATTGAGCTCCAGCGTTTAAACTTAATTTTTTTTGAAAAAAGGAGCTCCGACTGTAAAGTAAAATAAATCAATACATACAAAATTTTAGTATGGATTACAAACGTTAACTGTTTTTGCTATTGCCTTCCTGCTACGTAAGCAGACACAAAGCATTGTGGGAAATCAGAACCGTGACCCAAAGCAACAGTCAGCAGGATGTATACCTTCACAATAAGTGTGTTTATCTGGGAGGGGGTGCTGTTGGATAGATCACATGTTATGATTCATTGACAGCCATACCTTCTGCTGTTCAAGATAATGATGACTGGTAGATAATTAGTTAATAGCCGTACTGCATTTTAATTTTAGAAAGCGCAAATCCCCTTCTGAATTATAAAAATTAGTAAGACCGCTAAAGTGCAAACAAAATATTTAAGTCCGCAATTAGCAGATTTGCGCTTAAGCGGGCTGGCGCCCACCACTGCTAGCATGATTAAAAACCACGCATTTCTACACATTGTTTGTTGCAGGAAGGGGATTCTCATGGCAGTAAACACTGTGGAGATGGTTATCATTCCAACGGACATGCAGACTCAGAGGTGTGGTCCGAGACGCTGAGTGACCCCGCCGAACCACACAGGCCCAGGCTGTCGTTCAGTGACACGTATGTAGAAACACAGAGTCCACGCCATCTGAACTGCTCCGACCTCAGCTTGTTTAAAGTTTGACTTAAAAAAAACAAAGAGTTTTATTCTACTGTGTTTTTAATCAAATGATTTATTTTAATTTAGTCAGGAATAGAATAAATCTCAAATACTATATCCAGTTGCATTATCATGTCAGAGAACTGACAAAGTTTTAATAAGGTGAAAATCCATCTTACCTTTGATGTATTCCCCCTGAATCATGGCTCCACAGAGATAAAACTGTACAAACTGAGGAACTGCATCTCCCAAAGAGCTTCAGGGCATTTTTCTGTCAAAATCACTCGTTCGACCAATCACGTCCTGTCACGTGGAAACCTGGTCTTCCAGACTGAGGAAGGTTTTGGATTAAAGATGAAATGTTTCAACAAAGACAAAGCCATGCAGAGACCTGACTCAACCTTGTTAGAGAACCAGCCAGTAGCTCCCCTAACAGACTCTTCAGCACATTGCCCATAATAAACATGAATGAATTTGTGAATTTTGTTTGTAAGTTAATTTGTCCGTAAAGTTTCCAAAGTTCAATCTAAGCTGAGAAACAAAAGTTAGCTTAGCTGTTAGCTGTTAGCTGAACTGTTCTCAGCACTGCTGAGATCATTTGACTCTTATTGAACTCATAATGTCGCATCTGGAGGGAAAGTTGGGTCTTTAAAGAAAATCTGAATGCATGCATCATTGTTGATATTTTTATTATTGTCTAGAGCAGAGGTGGCCAAAATTGGCCCGCCAAGCCATTTGATTTGGCCCACCAGCAGTTTTCCTGGCTACTAGGTTATATTCTCCTGTTTTATGTAGAAACACTATATTTCCACTTTCCAACCAATGGTCCAACTATATAAAGGGCTGTAATGCAAAAAGTCTTAATTCATGGCAATTACTTTATCTTTATATTAAAATTAAACGTAAAATACAAGTAACTAGACATTTAGATTAGATTTGCACATTTAATAAGATCACAAATAGGCCTACTCAAATTTTAATTTATGAAAAGTCCCATGAGCTTTTGCTGCTCAACTGTACGTCAAATTTTCTGCACATCCAATCCAATCCAACTTTATTTGTGAAGCACTTTTTGCACCACAGCAGACCAAAGTGCTGTACAGAATCAACATTCCAGCATAGCTCATGCATAAAACATATTCAATCAAAAAATACAGTAAAAACACAGAAAAAATAAAAGCAGAGAATAAAACACAAGTAAAAGCAGGAAATAAAAAACAAAGTAAAAACAGGACATAAAAAACAGTGAAATGCCTAAAAAAATTTAAAGGCACAGTGTGTAGGATTTAGTCAATTCTTTTAGCCAAAATTGAGATAATCACTAATGACAATAATAAAAAACATGTCTAATCATTGCAGACAAAGACC